AACCTCTTCTGCTAGAAGAAAAATATCTAACTGTACGCAAAAAAATAAAGTGCAAGGGTTGAGCCCAAAAAATAAATATCATACAATCAAAACTCCTTCAACCCCCCTTCCCCCTTCCCCCATCAATTATGGTCCATCCCCTTACTGACAAATATATGATTCTGGTCTTACAATCTGTTTTTACAATCTGGAAGTGTAATACTACGCTTTTGAAAAGGAACTTTTCTTGCAGGTTAAGTCAACATTGGTTGCTCTCACGTATCCAGTTAAAAAGAGTGTCCGTTGTTTCTGACACTTCCTATCCTCCCTTCAGCATTGAGGCTGGAAAAACAGCTGAAAAAGCCTGTTAAAACACAATCATCTTATTTCATATTGAAAAATGTGTTGAGAGGTTAATCAAAAACGTGCGTTGTTTTAACGACTTCTCTCGTGCAGTGAGAACCGAGCCTGTTTAACCTCTCCTTGTATAACGGTATAGCTCTTCAATTTTATCTCACCTACCAGTTTCATTGTAGAGTGATATGTTTAAATTCGCTCGTTTCATTGCATCGATACCAGCCAAACAAGCCTCTTTATTTCGTATCATTCCTTTCTTTATCCCAATCCTCATGTTTTCAACATATCTCTCCACTGCGGCTTTGTGAGTCTTGAGTTTGTTTTCAATATCTCTAACGTCGTTTAGGCTCTTTGGCTTGAGGTGTCGCGTTGCATGGTAGACGCCGTAACCGAGATAGCAAATCTGCCTGTAACAGAATAGATCGGGCCCAAGCATCCATTCTCCCGTGTAATAATTCACGTCGTAAGGCTGTCCAAATACTTGCTTCAAGTAATGTCTTGCTTGCGATAAAGCTTTGCGCTCCCGCGGTTTTAGCTTCTCTTCTGCGATTCCTAGATTGTCGAGATCTTTGAGGAGCTTCCATGCGGTATCTGTGCGGTTCTTGATCACACTAGGCGTCGTATCAAAGGCAATGTACTCACTTCGAACGCGCTCAGCCGCGCCTTTCTGATCAGTTAACTTGCTTAAGTCGGGATCGTAAAAGACATTATGAGAATGGAGCTCATAGTAGGTCTTCTTCAACTTGTCCATAAACTTATCAAAACCAGCTCGCTTTGCTTCGGTAGAATATTCGCAGAAGGTGTTTTTCTTGGTGGATAAGCTGGGTGATGCCTCGCATTTCCCTCTTGATGTCCCAATGGCCATTAGAACTATCCCAACAATTAAGGCAATGACTCCAACGACAAGCACAACAGCTGCTATTTTAAGCTTCTTGCCGTTATCGCCAGTAAATGTGGTCACCATTTTGATGCTTCGCTGTGACCGTGTATGCAATCAGAAATATGTGACGAGAAACCTTTAGCGAGTGAAGATGATATATGAAGAGTATTTCAGTGTTGACAGCGGTTGCGAGGCGGGGTGATAGAGGTCAAGAATCATATATGCATATATGTTCTAATCGACTCTGGTTGGTCGGTTGGTCGGTAAATCATCTTTTTGACCATTGCTCGATCGGAAAAGTTGTGGTCATCAGGATACTCAGTTGTCGGTCGGATGGTAGTTCACGTGTTCGGTTGGTCGGTCGATCTGCTATCGCACGAGGTGACCAAGGTCGACTGAGGCAAATTTCTTGTAAACTGACTAGACTCTTCCACAGTCTCTCGCTCGTCCGTTCCGTCTCCACGCTTAGAGACTGTAACGGTACAATGACCGAAAGGACTTATGGGTCCCGAAAACTTGGACCCGGCATGCTTTGCGAACCAAAATACTTGTCTACAGTCTCTCTCGTTTCAATATTTTCAAGATGGGGGGGAGGAGGGGGGGAGGGAGCGTTGCGTGGCGATCGACCCAAAAAACGGATGCAAAGGAGACTACATGCGTGCTACCGGCTTACAATTGTCGCGGTGGGCAATTCTAATTCAAACGTGCGCAGGTTTAGCGCGCGAATATGAATAGCCTTCATGGAAAACTGACCGAAGAATAGGAAAAACGGTACAGCTGCTTAATACGTTAAGCAAACTGGACATGATAATTTCATCGTACTAAACAAACTCAATTTCAAAAGCATACATTCCCAATGATGTAAATATAAGGACGTCGAGTCGAGTCGACTAAAATCCCACGGAACACTTCCCAAAATATCCGGCAATATTGAAAAGCAATTTCAAAAATTCGTTTAGTTTAAAAAACAACTCAAAATTTTTTTTAGATGTTAGATTATCAATGGAAAACAAAGTTAGGCCTAACTACACTTACGAGATTATGAGGTCAAAAGTGACAAAAGTTTATTTTTTATGTATTTCTAATATGGTCTTTCTTAAAGATTATTTCGGTAATCTTGCTTGGCACTGTAGTTTATCTTCATTTAAATACTTTATTATCGTCTCCCCAACACCTCGCGCAGTCTTTTTTTAAAGGAAACTTTGTTATCTCCGTCGTACGCTGTTGTTCTATTGATATGAATACCCTAATTATTCCACCACGTTTCACTCTATCTATGTCTAATTTGATGCACTAAAACTAATGTTTATTCTGGTAATTACTATCAAACAGCTGCACTGCACGATAGGCTTAGGTCTTAGTCAGGCTCGTCACGATATTGGATTGGAATACTTGCGCGCGAATTAACGCATTCGTATTTCTATCTATCTACGCTCTCTATGACTCTATCTCCGCTTGGGTTCATGTTTATCTCTGTCAAATAGAAACGAAGGAATTCCAAAACAAGGAATTGTTGTCGTCGAAAAATAATTCTTAGACGAAATCCCATTATTATCTTCTTAAAGAATCCTCCATTTTTGAAATATTTAGGTGTTGCGCCTTGAAAAATCCTAATTGTATCAAAATATTATTTTGTTTTGGGAGAAATTCAGGGGTTGTTTAGACCTCGAATGATTTGTGTCACACATGGATATGAAGGGAAGTACGTCATTCACCTCTTAAGTTACATAATGATTGACTTCTATCATTACTGATAATGAAATGACTAAAAGGCTTACCAGTCTCGTTGAAGAGTGATATGTTCAAATAATTTCTGGAGATAGCATCAAAGCCTGCTTTGCACTCATCCACGCTTCGTACCATTCCCTTAATCACCCCAAGCTTCATGTTCGCTACGTACTGACTGATAGTAGAGTTGAAACTTTGAAGCTTTGTTCTGATCAGTTCTACATCCATTAAGTCCAAAGGCTTAAGGTGTAGCATAACGTTGTACAAACTGTAGCTCATGTGGCACACAGGTTGCCAGCAGAATAAATTCGGTCCTAACATCCAATCTCCAGCGTAATAATTCACATCATACGGTTCTCCAAAAACATGCTTTAGGTAGTGTTTTACCTGTTCAATTGCTTTGCGTTCACGTGGCTTCAATTTATCAACTTGTATGGTTTTTCCATCGATTTCTTCTAGGAGTTCCCAGGATACGTCTGTGCGCTCTTTGATACTTTGAGGTGCAGCATCATACGGTTCGAACTCCACCTTGACCCGTTCGAACGATTCCATATCCGTGCCAATATCTGGATCGTACATGACATTATATTTATGATACTTATGATACGTTTTCCTCACCCGGTCGATAAATTCCCCCAAACCGATTCGATTTGCTTCATTTGAGTATCGACAAAACAACTCCGAATCAGAAATAGGCTTCTTAGTGTCAATGCAGGTTGGTTTTTTAACGCTTGCAATCAACGCTATACCTACGATAAGACAAACAACACCAATCACTAAAACGCTTAAAGCCACAACTTTGGTTCGTTTAAGCGAGGTTGACTTCTTTTTGTACGTTACTCCATTATCTTGCAACATCATAGCATCAGCGTCTTCCAGCTTCTTGTCCATTGTGACCTGTGATCGTTAGGGCGCCGATAGAAAAGCTACGAACTCGCCGAAAAACAGGGCCAGATTTTCTTGATCTGTGGTGTCTTTGGGTTTACTTGGAGTGAGTTGAGAGAACCAGGCTCGAATGAATAGTAAAACTGTGGTGTCTTTGAGAGAAGAGATGATAAATCTTCTGTTCTGCGTCTGATACTTTTACGCTTATTAAAGAGTACGTGAGTGAAACTTGATTCTCGCGCTCTTGTGTTTGCCCTCTTTATTTGTTTATCCAACAGGTCACGTCACTGTATTGTCCAAAAAGATATACATAACAAATAGCGCAGCGAGAGAAACCTCTGCAAAACAGCTACGAATATTTATGTAAAAAAACACAAAAGCTTCTACCATCCTCAAGTAGGAATTAGAGAGCGCATTCTTGGTTTGTTCTGGAGCATAACTGCAATTCAGGTTAAACTGAAACCCACTAATTTTTTTAAGAAGAAAGGAATTGCATTCATTAATGTTGTGTCACGACAAGATTGACGTCCGGGCTCTCATGCGATAAACTAAAGATTATAGCGAACCACTGCTGTAATCTTTGAATTGAATTTTATGACTGTTGAGCAGGATAACCTTGGAATGCTAGAACAAAGAAGCGAACTTCCAAGATTAACAACATTATGATTAATTTCGCCGCGATAACAACGGACTAAAAATACTAGTCGTCCTCGATCAATGTAAAATTATTATTATTTGCCGTTATTATTTTAATTTTCATACTTCTTTAGGCCAACAAAAGCTAAGTTTTTTTATAATTAATTTTCGAGCTCTTTATCAAAAATCCTTCATCAAAACAACGAATTTGAATAAGAGTGATGAAACAAAGCATCGCTGAATCTGTTATGCCGCCATTAATGTGGAGAAATGATCTTTCAACTCTTTCTGCTCATCTAGATTAAAGGTCACCTGCAGACTGTGTTAACAATAGTGTACTTCTAGTTTTGCTTTCTGCACATCTAAACACAGTTGTTCTTTGTTGGCTATTCGTAGTACTACAACTTCATTGATGCATTGCGGGCACTGATCAATAGAAAAAGTTTATTATTCGAAATTTGTTTTCTAATTACAATCGTTACTAATAGTAATGTCTATTTATTTATTTATTCTTTCGTCCTCAACCTTTGTCTTTTCTTACAAAAATGGCGAGACTGTCTCGTGGGATCTAAATTATTAGATTAATTATAAAACATTAAAAAATCATTGATAGAATAAATTGAAACAGACGCCATCTTGCAAAGCAACCGCGCCTTAAACAGGCAGCGAACAGATCAGTGGCCTGGGGCAGAGGACCGAACGAGAAAGTAAGACATTACAAGTTTCCAAGCATAGCGTAAGGCTTGGTTACTTGTCAACAATAATCCATCACTTTCATGCAAGGCCTGGTTACTGCTCAGTAGTAGCCTCACTTTCATGCAATGCCTGGTTACTGCTCAGTAGTCGCCTCACTTGCATGCAAGGCCTGATTACTGCTCAGTAGTAGCCTCACTTGCACGCAAGGCCTGGTTACTTCACAAGATGGGGAAACCATTCAAATGTTTCAAATGTCATGAAATCAGATGTATTCATCTCGAATAGGTCTTTCTGGAGAATCGTAAGCCCAGTCTACATCATCCACAATGCCTTGCCTCCGTGCAGTTGTGACTGGTTCCTTAGCAACGGGATACAGGACATCTTTACAGCCTTCTCCCTTGCCCATGTTCAGCGTACAATCCACGTACTTGTAGATGCTATCTTTCAAGTAGCTCAGAGGAGACGATCCTTGAGACAGAAGATAAAAGTGAAAATCCTTCAAGTTGAATTTGTCGTTGAGTTTCTGTTTGGCGTAGTCTCGAAGTGACATGATGTGTAGTTGACCAATCATATATGCTGTAGCCTGTCCTGGATCACTCTGGTAACGTGTGACTTCCTTTTGTGCACCATCTGAGGTGTCCCATGCGTACTTTGCGAAGAAGTCCAACGCCTTCTGACGAGAAAAGCCTTTGTAATGAAGTCCCGTATCAACGATCAAACGAAGCGCTCTCCAAATCTAACAAAAAAAGAATAAATACATTTAGGTCTACATTATATTATATTATATTATAATTATATGACTAGCCTTGTTGGTACATTACACACCTGCCATTTCAGCATGCCATATTTCTGGAAGGGTTCGTTGTCATAGGTGTCTGTATCTCTTGCAATCAATGGATTCTCAGCGTACAACCCCCAGCCTTCAGTGAAAGCTGTGTAAGACGTCGATTTATCCAGCCAGCTTATGACGCCGGCACAGGAATCCCGAAAGTGCTCCACTAAACCTTGGACCTATAAAACAATTAGATGATGACGTCACTTTACTACAACTACCATAATCCTTTGCGAATTTTCTCTCTTATTCATAACATTCATCTTTCCCAACAGAATAATAAAACGAGTGTGCTAGGAGCTCTGGTATTGGTCAGTATTATATCAAAATCATCGCATGATAATTAACTCTATGGGCTACCTGTGTGTGATGGCCAGGCCTGGCTTCATGGGCATTAACACTCCATTCCTCAAACTTGGGTCCAGGCCTATCTAGAAAGAACGGTATGTTGTAGTAGGAAGGCCTTGAGCAGTCAGAACTACTTCGACGGTAACTTTGTGCTCCGCTGGAAGGGTTGAGGTTTGGATTCATCTCAACAGGGCAATTTGGAGCTGTATGTTTGTATCCATTGAAGTAAAACATATTAACTGTCTTTGGATCCAACATGCTCATCGCCTAAAACAGGTCAGAATACGCTAGTTAATAGTATTCTTTAGTCAGTACTTCATACATCCTTAGTAAACGTGTTGTAAACACCTGATACACATTTCCTAATTATGTAATGGCTTATTTCTTACGTTTCATAAATACAGAAACATTTTGGTATACTTCGTAAAGCTTTCGTATAGCAGCAGTAAGGGGGACTCGCGATCGATGCCGTATATTTGCGGGTTTAACCCGCGTTATTCCGAACGCGGGTACAGCAGATTTACGGGATTTCCCGCGGTGTGTCCTTACTGCTGCTGTGTTGGGTACCG